ATCATGTCGGACATAGAATGGGACAAGGTCGGTCTCCCAGATACGGAAACGGAAGAGGGCCGGGAGACGTGGAACAAGTTGGTTCGTTTCTGGGTGACTGATTGGTACTTCCGCACATGGATCCTGCAGGAGGTCATTCTGGCACCAAAGGTTGTCGTGCTCTACGGTACAGCAGCGATCAGCCTGGAAGCAATCACGGATTTCTGGGACCTTGCGAGAATTCATGGCCTTCCAAGGCCACTTCGGATCGGCATGTATGCTGAAGTTTTCAGTATGATTATGCATTTGAGTCCCGTAAGCTCCTTCAAATTGCTACGAGACCGCAGGCAAGGATTCGAGACATCTCAAACAGTTGACGATTCTGAAAATGTGGAGGATGAGCCTGTGGAAAGTGGCTCTCCTCTCAATCTCCTTGAGTTGCTTTGTCTGACGAGGAATAACCTGGCGACGGATGCGAGAGACAAAGTGTATGGACTTCTTGGACTCACTGACGACCCTGTCGCTCAGTCCATTGTTCCCGACTACTCGTCAAACAATACGCCAGACAGAGTCTTCACTGAGGTGGCGAGACTTATGATCGAAGCTGGTCGCGGCATTGACCTTCTACACCACGCCGGCATCAATCAAGGTGTCCCAAACCTTCCTTCCTGGGTGCCTGATTGGACAGTTCAGTCACGTTCGACTTTATCGACTCAGCTGTATCACTGCATGCCCAACACGTCTCCCATGATATCAATATCGGCCCCGGGAGAAGCTCCAAGACTGACTCTACGAGGGATGATTCTAGATCGAGTCAATTTCGTGGGGCCATCATGGAAATATTACACCCATAATCAGACTGATCACATGTTCAACATTTTCGAGAGCGCTCCAGATCTCGAAATTCCAGCGTTCAATGACGAAGATTCTCGAAACTTCATCCTCACCTTTGCGACTATTGCGACTCAAGACGACCTTAAAGAGCGATATATCGACGAGGCTCTTGATGACGCGCTTGTGAGAACCCTAGCGATGGATCGATCATGGCGGGGCGAAAGAATTGGACCAAGAGATAAAGAAGAGAAAGCAGGGACAGAAGACGCCAAGTTTGTTGTCACCGGAAAGGAAGGCAATAACTCTCCCGAGCTAGTATCGACATCGAAAGAATTCTTCGCAGGTGTGGACGCCTTCCGGCGCTTCTACGCTCAAGGACCGAATGAAGAGAATGACGAGCACGCGCCAGGTATTCGCGTGCACCAGACGGCGATATTCAAATGGCTGCTTGATTTTGACGTCGGCGTCGAGGCAGACCTCCAGAAACGCATGGTCCCCTTCACTGTCCCTTTTCAAGAAGCTCAACGAGGGCGACGATTTGCGATGATCGGTACAAGGGATGACAAAAATGCAGAAGATATTGCAAAAGATGCGGTCATCTTGGAAGAGAATCCCAGTAGGGCGGTATATAAGACAAAGTCTCTGGACCATCATTACATGGGCACTGTTCCGTGGAATGCCCAGGTTGAGGATTACGTGGTACTCCTTGAGGGTTTGAGGACACCATTCGTCTTGCGAAGAATCCTCAATGATATTGAGTCAGGCAGTGCAGACGAGTTCCAGATCATCGGCGATTGCTATGTGCACGGTATCATGGATGGCGAGCTTCTGAAGCCGATTGACAGTCTCAAAGGGAGGTTGAAGGCTGAGCAAGTCGGAGTTGACGCCAAGGGAGAAGAGTATGCTGTGGAGGGTCTTGAAGGCTACCTACCCTTTCAAGACTTTGTCATTGTGTAGAGCCAGTTCTGAACTCTTCCAAGCTTCAACTGTCCAATGAAGCATCTTACAATGTTGGTGTTTCTGTCATGTCATATCCGAAATTTGGCGTCAGAGGTTGCACTTGCGAGGTCAAATTGAAGAGAGCAGCAAACTCAATGTCGGGAGTCCAGAACAGTCATTCTGTTCACAGTAGAAAGGGGAGCCTGAATATTTTGAAATTAAGGCCGGGGTCTGAAATTTGGTGTTTTCTTTTTCTCCGCGGAATTATTGCTATCCTGCGGCGGGTCATGCTCGAGATCGGTTACCTCGGGATGTTGTCATGCACCTGCGGGGGATCGGCATTAACCTCGGATGACTAATGAAAAGTTGCTCATGTATCCCCGAGTCCCATCCAATTGTTTCAGCCCGTTTAAGGTTTCAGTCTTTCCTGTTTCTCACCAAGAGGCTTTTGTTTACACGTCAAGACCTGTTGACAAAGTGTGTTATTCAAGTTCTCAGACATGGGTTCTTTCGAAGAGCGTATCGACACCGCTGTGCGGGATCGTGATATCCCCGGCGTCATACTTCATGCTCGAGACAAGTCTGGTAATTTGACTTCCCCTAAGATTGGAGCTGGCCTCACCCTCAAGGGATGCTAATAAACACGAACAGGCATCTTTCAATACTCGCATGTGTATGGAGACAACCTGAAAAGCGCAACACCTTTGTCAGATGATCATATCCTTACTCTTGCCTCCGTCACAAAGCTTTTCACGACGATCGCTGCCTTGCAGCTCGTAGAACGTGGTATTCTAACACTCGACGGGGATGTGTCAAAACACGTTCCGACCTTAGCACAGAAACCCGTCTTGACCGGCTTCACGGATTCGGGCAAGCCCATCGAGGTACAGCGCCAGAAGCCCATCACTCTGCGACACCTTCTTACGCATAGCGCCGGCAACAGCTACGACTTCCTCAGCGATGCGACGCGAGACTGGCAGTCCTTCCACGGCCTCAAACCAACTCGCGGGTCTACCGTCGAGGAGCGCTTCGGGTACCCCCTGAACTATGAGCCGGGAGAAGACTGGGCCTACAGTTGCAGCTCAGATTGGATGGGGAAGCTGATTGAGAATGTGTCTGGGAAGTCGCTTGACCAGTATATGCGCGAAAATATCTGGGACCCAGTTGGCGCATCAAGTTTCACGTTCAATGTTGAGTCTGTCAGATCAAAACTTTGGGGAATGAACACCCGGGACAGGGACACAGGGAAGATTATCCTCCATCGCGGAAGGGAGTTGAATCATGGAGTCACCGACTGTCTTGGCGGACAAGGGTCTTATGGATCGGCCCCCGATGTCATGAGAGTTTTGCATTCGCTGCTGGTTGACGACGGAAAGCTACTGAGTCCGACAATGACTTCCGAAATGTTCAAGCCCCAGCTGTCATCACAGGCTAAGAGCAGCCTGTTGAAGGCGATGGAAGAGCCAGAGTGGGCAGTTGGTCACTTCCCTGTGACGGGCGAGTATGACTGGGGCCTTGGAGGTCTGCTTGTGGATGGACACAGTCACCCATACCGGCGGAACGCAACTCTGATGTGGAGTGGTGCATCAAACGTTTTCTGGGTCAGTCTTCTCTCCTCCCACGCACCCTGCTTTAAACAGACTTTGTTCTAACTTCTAGCAGTGGATCGATCGCCAAGCTGGGCTTTGTGGCTTCTTTGCGACACAAATGCTCCCTGCGGCAGAGGAGGGAATCCGACCGTACATTAAGGCATTTGAAGAAGAGATGTACTCAAAAGTGAAGGGTGCCAAGACTCGCGCAGTGCTTTAAGAATAAATAGATGCTCCCCAAGAGTAAGTTCGCATGAAACGGATCATAGTCAGCATATATAAGACATTGCGCGCAGTTAGAGGTAGAGGTGTTGGGCTGTGTTTTCCAATTGCTGTCAAAATATCACATCATGTTCCACAGGAGGTCTGAACTTGTCATTTCGCCATAAGGGTACCAGTACTCACAGAGAAAACCCGTTCTCTTAGCAAGCAGATTCTGATGTCTTTTCTATCAACTGAAAGACGGCACACTGGAGCACGGGTCTTCAAATACTTCGCTTGTTCATCATGATGAAGCCTGAAGCATTCGGAACCCCGGTCAAAAACTGGTTCGAAACCCAGATCACTCGTTTAACAGCGGCTTACGGCACGGCCCGGCCGCTATTTACAACGCTTCGCTTGTGGCTGACATTGCGTCCGCTTTCGCTGACAGACAAGGGCTACCACCACTGGAAATCAAGGCGGCTCAAACCCGACACACCGACTCTTGTGGAGGTTATTGTGTGGATAAGGACCGTTGTAACATCGCAACAAGTATCAAGTCCGCGCGTCAGTCTCATGGAAGTGCATGCACTGTAACCCAAGAACTTCGGTGCCGAAAAAGCATTGAACTTTCATAGACGGGGTCCCTGGTGTCTGAGCGCTGCGGTGCTGTGGTCTTTCCCCTCTATGAAGTAAGTACTCCGTACTTTATCATAAAAGTCCAGAGTTCAAAACCGAAATTGCGAATGAATGGGTAATTCCACTCTTTCCACTGAGCAACGCTCCAGTGCTACGAGATTAGCACCTTACCTGTATAGCATGTAGGCAAGGGAGGGAACGTTGAGCCTGTAACGTTGCTGATGCTGGCGTCAAATCATGCGTCATGATATCTTTCGGCGACGATCACCGTTATCGATTTGCAGCAATTCCTGCACGCAATCTTCCAGGGAAAAAGAGTCCAAGTGGCATGACAGTACCCGGTTCACGGGACGCTCTACACCGACACGTCCGGGGACCTAGTCTGGTATCGCTTCTCTCAGAGGTCCATCACTGGGCGATATGCCCACTGCTCATGAACCCCATGAGGGATGGCACGTGTCAAGCCCCTTGGCAGTATTGCTAGCTGGTGGAACTGAGTCGTCCCCAGCACCCCAACTCCAAGTCTGGTTGGATAAACCACTGAAGATTCTCCACAACCCGAGGTTCCTTTGGGATAGGTCCGTCGAAATTCTTCAAGCTGCCACCCTCTGATCCATGCACACTGCTGCACCGCCCGGTGTCCCCGGCATGGTTTTGAAGGGGAGATGGGGGGTTGGGTCTGGCCCCTTGGTCCTTAGAAGTTGGGGTTGAGCTTCGGCGGATTAAATACCTAGACCTCAGACGATCTAATCTGTAACCCCACGGTTTCTCACATCAAACCCCTCACCAAAGTCGACTGACACTTTGAAAGAATTCGTAATGGCGACTCCGGGAGATGAGACGCGCTCACCCCCGGTGGGGGAAACCGTTGCTTCTCCAGGCCATGCCGAGATTGATACTGAGGATGGGGCGAACCCGGCAACGGGTATCATTGTACGCTTTACACAGCGAGCCCCGAACCGGGCAGAACGGGCAACTCTTTGCTAATTTGCGATGCGGCGATTAGGATGCTGACGACGGAGAAACAGACTCCGCCATCAATGTCGTACGTTGCCCAGTATAGTTATACCGCAACCGTTTTCAATGGGAGAACATGATTCGCGACAGAACCTCATTTCAGGGTACGAGTTGATAGTAGTTGTGCTTACCATGTCTGACTTTAGTCAATCCGCGATTCTCTCACTTCCATTCGCTCATCCATCCTTAATTTTGAAGATGAGAATGGACGTCTCTATCACTCTCATTCCCGAGGCAGTAAGTCTTTGTATTGCATATCTAACAGCCATGAGATTGAGCCTGGCCTGATACGTGCGCAGAATACTACTTTCCCCATGATAACGTAAGTTGAGACCGCCACAATGTATAGTGGTAAAAATGTATGTCATATAGCTGATGAGACATTAATAGGTTGAACAAGAGCGTTTGGATCTACAGCACGAGCTCTTCATGAGGACGTTCAGAGGGCGCCTTTGCACATGTCCAAAGTCTTACGGTGCTAACAGAGTCCTGGACCTCGGAACGGGAACCGGAATCTGGGCTCTGGAATATGGTCAGTCATGTGCGCATGGTACATATGATTAGCCTGACTAACGGTCGATTAGCGGAGGAGCATCCCGAGTCTGAAGTGATCGGGGTGGATATCAGTCCAGTGCAGCCTGACTTGTAAGTGACGCCACATGTCCTTGAAGCTGCCACTCACTATCGAGGTCATGACCGCTGATAATCTTCAAGTATGCCTCCCAACTGCTCTTTTGAGATAGATGACCTGGAGAAGCCATGGACATGGTCAAAACAATTCGACTTCATCTTTTCTAGGACTTTGAGCGGCAGCATTCTGGACCCAGCCAAGCTAGTTGACAGCATTTACAAGTAGATCGTCCCTAAACATCTCCATCCCAATGGCAAGCCCACTATTCTAACGCCTGATGATATAGCCAACTCGAACCCGGCGGCTGGTTCGAAGCACAAGATGTCTGCATGGAAGCTCGGACCGACGACAACACACTACCTGAGAACAGCTACTTGGCGCAGTGGGCCGATGAGGTGGTTGACGCTATGGAAAAGATCAATCGGACTCTCAAGCTTCCACTCAAGTGGAAGCAGCTTCTCATCGATCGCGGCTTTGTAGATGTCCGAGAGACCATTTATAAATGGCCAACCAACACTTGGCCACGAGACAAGACGATGAAGGATATTGGCGGATGGGGGCTAGCCAATCTTGACTACTTCCTTGAGACAGCAGCTCTCGGTATCTTGACCAACATCAAGGGCTGGTCGAAGGAGGAGGTCATTGTTCTGTGCTCGCAAGCAAGAAAGGAGATGCGTGATCCGAGGATCCATGTTTGGTGGCCTGTGTAAGTTTTCTCGTTGCGACGGAAATCATGTGGAAGTTTACTCTCGGCGCTATTACTGACTCAGACTGCCAGATATGTCGTTTCTGGTCGGAAGCCAGGAAATTCAACTCAGGCGCCTGTTGAGCCCTCGACAGCTGGAGTTGCCTGACGTCGTCAAACGATGATGGCCACCAGTCATCATCACTCGTCGGGGGTCCATCCAAAGGCATCCCCGAAGAGTCTCTTGATACTTATGAAAAGACACATGAGGTCCGATTATTGCGGCTTGTGCCTAATAATTGTGATGGAAATCTGCTTTGAGGCTGTCCTGTGTCGACAGAAATTACTTTGAGGAATGGCTTCAGCCACTTGAATTCCAACGTTCCCTTTACAGAGTGTGAACCCCGCGGTGATCACACAGAAGCTATGCGCGTCTAACAAGATCCGCTAAGTTACAGCTCATCTGGTCTCTCTGAGCCAGCTTCAGTGCCTTGATTTTCTTGCTGATTGCGCTTCTGACTGTTGAGATTTTCAGCCTCAACTCTTTTTCAGAGACCATTGTGAGATCGGAATCAACTTACTCTCTTCGTCTGTACATGTACCACATAATTGAAACGCTAATGATAGCAAGGCCTCCGAAAAGTATGAGGATTTGATAACCGTACTTGTACTTCGGCGCATCATAGGTAGGAAATAGAACCACTGGGAATTTGTTAGCGCAAAAGACTTGAGTGGTAAATTTCGGCTAGCGGCTTCAACTCACAGGGTACCCAAAGAACCCAAGCGTAGGAAACAACATTTGCGGTGGCCACAAGCAGTTGTCTGAGACTCGGATCTCCCGCGTTAAGTCGATTGGCCCAGCTCTTTACTTTATGTCAGAGTCTGTCGTTCAAGTGGTTTCTGTGGGGTACTCACGATGAGGACTGGAGTTGCCGCGGATCCAGCATACGAAAGGTAGTACGCAAACATCAAGGCCCCCTTGGGGATATACCACACAGAAAGCAAGATGTTGGACAGTATCATCAGGGCTTGAACAATGACAATCATTGTATAGTTCTGTCCGGTTCGGTCTGCGATTATACCCCAGATGACTGTGGCAACGATGTTCAAAGCACTGCCGCCAGTAGGGTAGATGTTTGCATCTACAACGCTGTAGCCAGCAGACTTCAGCCAGAGGTTGAAATAGCTGGTGGCTGTGTGACACGCCGCGACCATACTGCCAAGTTATGTGAGTAGGATGCGACGCAGTTGTACTTCTTCGGGAGTATAACTTACGTGTACGGTACAACAAATACCCAGATCTCCCAACCGAGGTAGATGCGTTTGGCTTCCTTCCATGTCAACTTTTGCTGAGCCTTCTGCCCGAACTTCTCAATCCTATCGATACCATATTTGACATGCTACGAAGAGTGAGTCAGGCATGTTCATTTACAATAGTGACGTGGAGAACATACTTCAGCTGACCAGTAGAATGCTTTCGTGTTATGCGGCAGATCAGGCAATCCAAAGAAGCCCCAGAACGCAATTGGAAGCGAGATGATGGCGTCCATGATGAACAACCATCTCCACCCTGCAATCCCATGACGACCATCCATGCTGGTGTATAGTCCTGCTTGCAAATAACCGCTGAACATACTGGCAATGGATTCAACTTGCAGGAGTATAGCTAAGCGCTTAGTGAGCTCCTTTGGGCCGTACCAGCCACCCAGCATGGCGATGTATCCCGGGAAAGCACAAGCCTCGAACAGACCGATAAAGAAACGCAAGGCGTACATCTCGTACCGAAAGTTAGTGATATGGGCCATGCTATCTTCTATGGCTTGTACTTACCGTCTTGATATTCTTGGCAAACCCCATGCCGATAACAAGCAGCGACCAGATGACCTCGCACGATGGAATAAGAATCGAGGGTCGGATGAAACTGAGTTGTGACATTTGAGCTGGGACACTGCCGACCATGATGCCTAAACTGAACCAGGTGTTCAGCCAGTTGCGCTCGTTTCCGTAGAGGCCCAGGTCAGTCTGCATGCCACTGATGAACGCATTGCCTGAAGATCAGGGTCAGTAATCCTCAACTTCACAAGCTAATAAGTTTGGCTTACTGTAATTTGTTTGATCAAGGTACTTTATGAAGTAGCCAAAACAAACAGTAGGACTGGTGAATAGAAGGAACTTGTTAGTCCTGGGAGAGCAAAGCCGCACCACACATGGCAAGAGATTGGACTCACAAGAAGAAAGTATCGAGCCTTTGAACGTATTTCCGGTACTCTGGATCTCCATCAACAGAGTCCCATACAAGACCGACAATCTTGCGCCATCGGGAGGAGGTTTTCTCGGGGATTGCCTCTGCGGTGTTTTCTGGGGTCGTGTCTTTGGCGTTCTTGTCCAAATCCGAAGTGGTTTCTGCCACTTCCACAGGGGCAGCGGACTTGATATCCGACATGTCGGTCAGTGATTGGTACCTAGAGAAAACGATTCTGCACGCTCGTCCCAGCAATCTGGTTAGACGCTGATGTTCGGTCGACTTCAGATCGCTATATACTTTGGCTTCCCCAAGAGAAACGATTTTTTCCGAAGCACCTAACCGCATTGAATTAAGTCATGGATATGGCTGATTTGAGCTAGAAAACTTCCTGTGCCTGATTTGCTACTGGTGGATGATGCCATTATAATCCCTGTGAGCGAGCTCACCTCCTTGACTCCTTCGGACCCGATTTTGTTCCAAACTAGCCTTAGATGTAATCTGCATGTACGCGCAGACAGCATCTCTTCCATCTGGCGGCTTTTCGAAATGAATGACAGTGCCTCAAGGAAGTCGTGCCGTTCTCGGATGTTGCAGCAGAAGGAACCCAATGTCATGGCTGGCCGCCCCACCATGTCGTTATCTCACTCCGCTCTGTCGCCTTAATTGCTGTCCGGCATCTTTGCCGGTGCTTGACAACTTCCCGGCAAACTTGATTGCACTAAATCTGACCATTTCACAGAGAACTTGACTTCATTTGGATGTGAAAAGCCAGAAAAATCTCACTTTACAATCTGTCAACCTCAGTTCACGAAGAAACCCTTCAGAGGAAACATCGCAGTATCTGAACTGTTCATTAATAATGTTGCATTGGGAACAAAAGGCAATACTTCGATTACATAGGGGCACATGATAATCGGTCGGAGCGTTTGAGTCGTGCCTTGTGGAAGGTAATGATAAGTCGACTCTTATTTTCTGTCCATTAAAGGCACGGTATCCATGCCCGGCTGCATCCTGGAGCGATTTAATTCAACCGGACTGTCCATGTATCCACAGCTCTTCCGACAGGGTACTTCCTCCTCTCTCCGCGATCGCAAGGTAGCTTGGATGTTCTACTCATTCCGGTATTTTATCATACCCGGCAACGCTGAAGTGCTGATCCCGTCAGTTCGAGTTGAAGACAGTCTGGCAGGAATCTTATTGATCAATTAGCAGAACCTCCACGATTAGAGGACGCTCTTCAAACTCTTTACATCATGACGCCAGAAGTCCTACGACTTTCTTTAGAGAATGTCGATTTCCGGCTTCCGACACAAGTCACAGACGACAATAGTGTTACAGCACTCAAAAGTTTAGTCTTCGAGCCCCTCCTCCGATGGCAATCCCATGGCCGCGTTGAGCCCGGGCTTTTTGACCGATGGGAGCGGTCCCTCGATGCCCGAATCTGGCAATTTCACATCCGAGAAGACGCCTGCTTTCATGATGGCGAGCCTTGCAAGGCTAAAGACATCGTCACTTACATCAATGGCCTCCTGGACTCAAGAGACTACTTTGGCATGCGCTGGAGTTACAGCCGCTATTTCTCGCAAACCAAGTTCTCTGCCGAGGATGACCTGACTGTAAAGGTGACAAATGCGGAACCATTCGCGGATATCGAGGGTATCTTCTGCGAGTTTTGGCCTTCTCGCATCGACAAGAATGGCAAGCCGGTGCTTGGAACGGGCCCATTCCGTGTCATCGAGTTCGAGCGGAAAGATAGCACGGGTAGAGCCATTTTGCAGCGGCTGAATCCGACGCGACATGGCTCACCTCATACTATCATAGCGACGATGGAACCAAATGCTGCCGAAAGACTTCGGCTTCTGCGTGCTGGAGAGGTCGATGCTGCCCTCAATCTGGAGCGGGTAGCTAATCTTGACCTTCTCAATTTCGACTCTGGATTTCGATGGGGAAGAGTGGCAAGCACCCTATCGGCTATTTACTATCTCAACTGCACGGATGGTATCTTTACTTCACCAGACGCACGTCTGGCTGTGAACCTTGCGTTGGACAATGACGCATTGGTAAAGGAAGTATACCATGGGTTCGCAAAGTCATCCGCTACAATCGTCAGCCCCTATCATCTTGGCTTCCCAGAATCACAATTGCAACACATTCCCTACGACCCCGACAGGGCCAGGGATCTTCTGAAAGATTTCGACAAAGGCACACATCTTGTTTTGAGGACCCCAGTTTACATGCCAGAGCATGCCCAAAAGATCTCGAAATTCGTGGCATCATCCTTGGAGGCCGTTGGCTTTCAGGTCGAAATCAAGGTTGAGACCAATAGACCAGAATATGCTCGCCAAATCGGACTCAAAAAAGAGATTGGAAGCCTCGCGTTGTTTGACTCAACCCCAAACAGCACGTTTCGCGTTTTGGATGATAAGATCTCCAGTTCGTCGCGTGCAACTTGGTGGCTTGGTTATCACGATGACAAGTTGCAAGAACTATTTTACGAGGCGCGAAACAAAATCAACTACGAAGACAGAGCGGAAGCATATGCGAAGACTCTGAAAAGGTTACAGCAGAATCCTCCATGGCTGTATATAGGTCATCCTGACGTTATTTGGGCAACAAGACACAATGTTGGACTTCAAATTGGGCATTCGGGAATACTCACACTCGATTAGTGAGCCGGAACTTTAGGAGGAGAAGAGAACGTTGTAGAAATCATTGGAGGCTGCAACAGCATTCATCTTTCTGTGGTGATACTTGAGCTTACATGTATTTATGAGCAAGAGCAGGAGGATATGAATCTTCTTCACATGAGGTGTATCAGCGTGGCCTTCTCATTCGAGGCCAACCTTCTTGATACCGTCTTTCTGAAGTTATCCCGATAGGAGTTCTTCCTGCGGAACCTCCGCAATGGGCCCGAAGACTCGGATCCACTCACATAACGCCTCGGTATATAAGGCGGCCGATGTCGCCGACTGCGCTGCACGTTTCAGTCCGATACTTCCTTGATCGATGCATGTAACTTTTCGAGCTTGCAATGAGCACCTCGGTATCCATCAACAGCCTGCAAGCGGCGGCTAAAAGATATGGCACCGAGCCACTCCTAGTTTTACCAAATGGTGCGACTGTCGATTTATCGAAAGGTTACATCCCACTACTCGCACGATACACTTTCGAAGACAAAGCTGCCCAAGGTCTACGGAAGCGCAAGGCCGGTGACAAGCCTGAAAATCCGATCCACTTCTCTGCTCTTGAGCTAGTCCGCGACAACTCGATCTTGCTCTTGACGGGACCCAGCGGGAGCGGGAAGACTACAGTTGCTAAGCACCTCTGTCACATCCTAGCTTCCTCTAGATTCAGCAATGCGCGACCACTACCTCGAAACGACCTAGGTGATATCAAGGAAGAGAATTGGGGTGCCAGCAGATTGTCTCCGTGCTATTTCTCACTGAGTGGTACCGAGTCTCTGAAACGGTTGGCTGATGTAACGATTCCGCAACTTCTTGGCGCATCTGGTTCTCAGCACGAGCATCTGCTCATCGTCCTCGATGATCTCCAGACCGCAGGGGATGAACTGATCTCTGTTCTGGCAAAAACACTGGCCCTAATACGAGAGCGAACCTACACCAAGCTACTCTTGCTTGGCGATACAGATGTCCTTGACCGCTGGAGCTTCCCGGCCGTCGTCCGACACGAGTTGCTTCCCTTGTTAGAGTGTCAAAGAAGGGAGGCAGTGCGTTCTCACCTGAATTTGGATCCGTCGACTATCATAACAACTGGCATGGGTGAAGCTGCGTCGAACCCGGCCATGTTTGCTCTCGCGGTTCAAGCCAATTACTCTGGAAACTGTGCCGAGGAGCTGCTAGATGCGTGGCTTTCGTCCACCCACTCGCAGTCAGATGCTGCATCGCTTCTAGCAGAAAGGTCATACAAGCTGATACTCCACAACTCATTAACCACCGGTCCGACTGAGATGTCGTTGACCGCGATTCAGCCCAATCCTGCCTTGCGAAGCCTGACGGTGCAACGGCTCCTAGCTGCGCGGCACCTAGCTGATTTGACACCGCAAATCGCTGTCGGCCTCTTTCGTGATCAGCCTCATGCTTCGGATGATGTTCTAAGAAGCTGCTTGTCGCGTCTCAGCTCCTTACATAGGTCTGGCGTCCTTGTCGACGGGCTCCTCGGGGGCACACCAGCTGACGCTAAGCGCGCTGCCTTACTGGTGGCTGGCCTTATTCCATTATCCGCGGAAGTCGAACGCAAGGTTATGAAGCTGCTTCTGGAAATCGTCGAGAACGGAGATTGCTCGGCTGGTGAACGCGAGAAAGCCGGTCGTCTACTGTCAAAGTATGGCGACCCGCGAGATCTGACTGAACTCGCAGAGGTTCCCGCCGGAAGCTTCATGATGGGCTCTGAAAGTCATCCCAATTCGCAGCCTCTGAGTAGAGTTTCGCTCGAGAGGTTTCGCATCGGTGTCTATCCTGTCGTCAACAGAGACTACGCCGCCTTTGTGAAGGAAACTAGCCGCGAATGGCTCAGTCCTGGTGGCAAGGACCCGGAGAAAGCAAATGCACCAGCGACCGATCTTACATGGCATGATTCAAGGGCTTACTGTCAATGGCTCACAGAAAGGTGGAGAGAAGAAAAAAAGATCAGTTCGAATGAGCACGTGAGGCTTCCTTCAGAGCCAGAGTGGGAGTGCGCGGCCAAGGGTGGCCGAAATGAGACGGACACTGAAGGGTTGGCTTTTCCTTGGGGCACAGATTGGCAGGAACATACTGCCAATAGCGACGAGACTGGCTTCAATACGACCTGTGCTGTTGGTCTCTTCCCAAGGGGGCTCTCGCCGTACGGCTGCCACGATATGGCGGGGCACGTATGGGAATGGTGCTCAACTCTCTGGGGCGAGGACATGACGATGCCAGCTTTCCAGTACCCTTGGCGGGATGATGGGCGAGAGTCTTTAGATGCCTCGGACCATGTTCGAAGAGTACTGAGAGGCGGATGTTTCTCGAGTCCCAAGTTGAAGGCAAATTGCACGTATCGAGGTAGCCTCGAACCAACAGGATTCTGGAGAGGCAATGGGTTCCGCATCGTTGTTGCGTCGCTAGGCTCACAAGACCAAAAGAAAGCAGACAGCTCCTCACTTTAAACCTTTTAGGATCGATACTGGAAAGACTCTCAACAATTAGACTCATGCTCAA